TGTGTGTGTGTGTGTGTGTGTGTGTGTGAGGACATTTTGGCTGCTCCTCACTTTTTTCAAAGCGCTGTTAGAGGGTTAGGACTAGCTCATCAGGTTAGGCTAAGAATTAGCTTTAGGTTAAGTTTAGAATGCATTACAATAAGTGTCCTCACTAAGATAGAATTACAAGACTTGTGTGCCCCCTCTTTCTCACTAACTCTTCTCCTTAACCTTTGTGCTCTCTTTCATTGGTCACATTAAGCATCCAAATGAACTTGTGCACATTGTGAATTTATTTGAACATATTTAAAATAGATACTTTCAATGTTTCTGTGTGCCCTGCATAGTGAAGTGTGTCTGCGTGTAAGGTCTGGGGACAGTCGAAAGACGGGCCAGCCTGCAGTGTCTCAACAGTCTCCTGCCACTAAAACACAGCAGGACTAAATAGAAGCAACAGGAGCATTTGAATATTTGTGTGTGTGTGTGTGTGTGATGGGGGGGGGGGGCTTTACAAACTGCCTTTTGGGCAAAAAGAGAGTGAGGGGGAGGAGATATTTCCCCTGTAGCTCATTCTTCACCGGTGACACATCTCGAATTGTCACCTGAGGAATTTAAGAGAGGAGAGGGAGGAAGAATGTAGGAAAGAGAAGGGGTGGGGGTTTGGGATGGGGGGGGGGTCTTGTTAATCAACCATTAACCAGTTACCTCCCTTGGAAACTCTCTCCCCCTCCTCCCCCCCCGGTGAGTTTCACAGCACTGACTATGCTAAGAATTCAGACCAGACCTTTACTGACAGTTCTGATTTGATGTATGTATTAATGTAATGAAGAATACTCTGCTTGTTCACTCCATCATAGCCGGGGACGATCGGTGGGAGGCTCTCCCCTTTAGGACATAGTGTTGATAGACCTGACCCACACAGACCCGCCGCACTTTAAGAGCAGGTATGCAGCTCTGTTGGAAATCATATTCCACCTCTGCAGGAGGGAAGCTTTTTTTCCACTGCATGTCTGATGAGGCACACAGAGGAAACTTATTAGGATTTAGCCTGAGGATAAAGAAACAACAGTCCAGCTGTTTATAAAATGAAATAGCTCTGACTCTCATTATTCTGACCCTTATACAGAGAATGTAGAAATATAGAAAAAAGAAACTCGACCCCATACACACAAAAGAAATATTACTACATATCAACATTAACACATTTTAATAGCTTTGACTAATCATGATCAAACTTTTACCTCGATGATTAATGAATGATTATTTGAATGTTGGTTTCAGTACTAATGGGCTGGACCACATCCATCTTTGAACTCTGTTTTCATTATGATCATTACACACCTAGTTTTGTGACTGTATCTTGTATATTTGGTATAAACACCTCCCGAAGTACTCACAACTGGCTGTTTGGTAGTTCTCACTACAGTTGTTTCTTCAGGGCCACACACACATATACAGAGTTAAACACCACCGACTCTGTCTAAGCTGGTAACACAGTTTGCCTGTCAGATTGATAGTTTGCTTCTTGGTATTTTAATTTAAAGAAGTAAAAGCTCTTGTTGACGTTTCAGAACTCAAATTAAGATTTTTCCTCCCGGTAAACAGCATGATGTAGCCGCAACAGCATTTTCCACAGGCTGTTATTATAAAGATAAAGAAGAATATTAGCCAAACTCAAAATTTGAACA